TTGCGCGCTCAAGTTCATTTCAAATGTAGGCGCACGGTGTCCGCGCTCATAATGGAAGCGACGCGCTCGTTTTTTCCAAGCGCGTCCGCGCTGCATCGAGATAAAAACATCTCAACTTTTCATAATGCCGCAAGCGCACCGTGGGTCAAGTGACAAGAATCAACAGAGCAACGACAGACGCCTCCGGAGCGCAACCGCCCTAGCGCTTTGGATAGGAGAACGCGGCGTGCAACTTTCAGCTTTGCAACGTAAAAAAAAAAACAACAACAAAAAAACAGCGGAATGTTTTGGTTACGCAAGTCTGTGGAAAACAGAATGTGACGTGCTCTCAAGAGTTTCAGTCAGTGAACATTTAACTTAATATCCTATTGCTTTCTCCTGTCTGTGTTGAGTAAATGTCAGGCTTTGTAGTTGTAATATGCCCGGTGTAAAACACTAACATAAGATCAGGGCCGTGTAGACTTCTAGGACTACCAATTAACTGCATTTCAGTTAATTAATAACACTGCATGAGAGATGTTCTCAGTTTCTTTCTATAATTTGTACTCAAACTTCAAACAAACAAACCAAAATAATGAGATTATAATAGATGATTTCCTAAAAGCACATGTGAAATTTGGTTTAATAATTAAAAAAGAGTATTAAAATAAGTACAATAATATTGGTGGATAACATTTGGACTATATTTGTTTTCTTTTAAAAGAAATACATAGGCCTAATATTTAGCTTGCATTTAATTGAATAGAGCCAAATATTTTGTTTATTCTTATTTTCATTGGGATTTATTATCCCTTTATAGTATTATTTATGTTTTTATGTCAAATACCAACAAGATATTGTTTTCATGTTTTCAAGTTTTCTACCTCGGTTTGAAAATAAATTTAGAACAAACTAAACACTTAATAATTTTGTGATCTATTTCAATCAAAGTGCCCTGCAGCCTTTGACTTAATTTGTTATTTTTAAAAGAAAAATGCTGGATGTTTACAAAGCACTTCTCTCTAATTCCAAAGGAAGAGATTGATTATTGTTTGTCATTTTCTAATTGTGTACTGTGTTGTGGCAGCAATAAATAACACATTAAAATCTAGTGTTGAGTGTTCATGTGATATTATACATTAGTAGTGTTGTGAAATTAAGTGATGCATAATAATCGTGATAATCGTTAAATCGTGATTATTTCTCAGACAATAATCGTACTTACAAAATCTGTAATCGTTGCATCCCTAGTCTTCAGTGTCACTTCAGAAATCATTCTAATATGCTGATTTGCTCCTCAAGAAACATTTCTCAGTACTTTTTTTCCAGAATATTTTGATGAATAGAACCTTTACATTTATAAATTTATCAGATGTTTTTATCCAAAGCGACTTACAAATAAGGAATACAAGCGATTAATCTCTAAAAGGTTCAAAAGAATAGCATTTATTTGAGATATTATTCTTTGTAACATAAATGTCTAACTGTAACTTGTAATCAATTTAATGCATCCTTGTTAAATAAAAGTACATTTACATATAATATATCTTACCTTCTCCTCTGCCTCGAGTCGTTGAGCCTCAGCTAAAGCAGACCAGAACACCGCTCTGATCCCCTCTTTCTGGAAGTATCTGGCCCAAGCTCGCCGCTGTTCTCTAGTGAGCAGGTCAGCTTTGTTCAGCAGAAGCATGTTTACTTTGTGAATAGAGACCTCTTTTACATATTTTTCCTGATGAAGACACAAAATGAAGTATGATTAAAATAGGAAGAGCAAGTGTATTTATTTTGAGCCAATGTCTTATTGTTACTTACCAGATCTGGACACCGGAAGAGAAGCGGGTTTCTGGCATCAACAATTTGAACCACAACATCACTGAGGATTAAACAAAAAAACAGTATTCTAGGATACTAGTTTTCAGTTGTAGTGTAAATGTCCCCTAAGAAACCATCATGCTTACATCACAGTGTAATTTGATAGTAAAAAGTACAAATAAAATATCCATTGTAGAAAAGAGGCAATCAAAAGCTCACCTCCTCTCAATAACTCTCCAGAGTTGCCTCCAGAAATCGAGATTCCTCTCAAAAGGGGTAAGAATCATCTTCTGTTCCTCTTCCAACCTATAACAGAGAGTGCATTTGCTCACAAACACTATCCTGTTGTTGGAGAATCTGATTTGCTAGTCTTTGGACTAAATTTATCAAACATTCACCCTGCCAGTTCTCTTCTCCATGTAAGGAAACTGTCCCTCTCGGTTTGCTGTAGAACCTCAGAGCTTGTGTTCTCGTCCCAAGGAGGCCTGCAGTGACAGAACACAATCCTGAATACATTTGCTTTTGCATAATTGAGTATCTATGGCAGATCAGTGGAACTTTATTAAAAAGTAAAAAATTTATTCCACAACAACATACCTCCGGGGGATTCGCAAGAGCTCTTTGTTTTCCTCATGGAGTTTCTTCAGTCGTCTGGACTCCTCAGCGGAAAGCAAGCCAGCCCTCGCTTCAGCTGGGACAAATTTTATGTTCATTTTCTCTGCAAAAGAATAACACATATTTTTATCTGTTACTAGCAGGGTTATTTTAGTATTATTTATATACTATTATCCACCTAATTTTGCAAAGCAGAAGGAATTATTTTAATGTGCGAGACTTCTGATTCATTAGCCACTATAGGGAAATAACTGGAAGAATAAGAAAGTGCAGGAAACGGTAAAACTATTTGCGTTACAAACCAGTTTGTTTATGATTATGATAATTAAACAGTATGATAGCTAATACCAGTTTGCAATATAAAGCAGCATGAAATGGAAATTGTGATAGTATTTTCTTCTCTATTGAGACGTATATCCGAGTGAAACAGCTTCTCGAACAAGAAAAAAATTGTAGGAAGGGACTTGATTTTGTCCATTGGGAATTGATTGGATTGTTGTGGTTTGCTTGAATTTAATTCAATTAATAAAAATGTTATTAATAATTGTAGTTAACGATAATAACCCTGGTTCCTAGAAATAATCGTATAAATAATCCAGAAATGATATTACCACCAACCTGCAACAAATTCAGTTCCAGCGAGTTCAGCTGTGGCAAGAAAGTCATCCAGAGAGCTCTGCTCTGTGACAGACTGTAGGTTTAGTCGACCCCAATCATATCCATCATTCAGCTCGCTGGTGTGCAGCTAAAAGACAGAAAACAATGAAAATACATCAGATTTATTGAATAACACTGGCTAAAATGTACATCTACTGAATCAAGTTAAAACTCTATCTGTTTCGCTCTTGACTAAACAAAAATAATATATTTCAACAGGATATTTTGTTGTCCATGTGTTTTGGTTTATGATGGAAAAACCTTTTAAATCCATAAATATTTGTTTATGTTACGCATATCGTACGTTTGTCGACCCCTAATCAAAAATTACAAAATAATAAGTCATGGTTTCTCCAATTATTTTATAAATGTTCTATATTAATAGAACTTTACAATAATCTAGACTAATGCTATAGGCGAAAGAGCAATTTTATGATCAGACAGTTACTTTTTCTTACCCATGTGTCATTTCTCCTGTATCCGCGGCCTGCGTTCAGTCTCTCCTTTATTAAAGCTCTCCCTAACCCCGAGCCTTCTCCGTGAGCCTTCTTCTTTCCCATATTAGATACGTTTACACGGTTAAACAGCGATATAAATGTGTCAGCGAGCTGTTCGTGGACATACGAATAGACAGAACTTCACCCATGTGGTATGTTTGTTATGGCAAAGGAAGGAAGTCACACGGACTGGCGTATGAGAGGAACCTCCTCTTTAGAGCAATACGGCGTCAAGAATAGATCCCCTTTTTAGGTTTGTTCAGCTTAGTCGAGTGCATATGTTTACTTTTTAAAGGTTGACTGAGATTACAGCGAAAAGATACATCTTTTTGGTTGTTCTAGGGCTATGGTGTCTCACTAAAATATGTCCCTAGGAAACCCAAAGGCGTTGCTTTGAATGGTTCCGGATGTTTGCAAACTGCTTGAGTCATGTTAGCATGTCACCAGCAGAGGGCATCACATAACAAGTTTCAGATTCGCCCAAAACATTCTTCCTGCTCTATGCAGAGGTAAAAAAAGAGGGGCAATAATAATATTAATAATAATGAAAAAATATTGCTAATAATACTTAAATGTGTAATATGTTTAATCATTTTAATATTTAATTAATAATTACATTTGGTTGTTGTTTTCATTGTTATTAAACCTATAATAACAGGATGCATGCTTAAACTTTACTTTAATTATTTTCATTATTGTAGAATATGTCGTAATAATAATAATAATAATAATTATTATTATTATTATAGTAGTTGTTGTTGTTATATAGTATCAGGTTGTATTCTTTTTTTTGTGCCATTTTTAACCTTATAGAAATTCAAATAAGGGTTTGTGTTTTGTTTTACGTCGGTATCAATATCAGTAAAGAAAAGTATATTAGCAAAGAAAAACATTTTATCGTCACCAAACTAAACAGTCTTTACTGTCTTACATACGCATAATGAGAACAGATGAGCCGATATGAAACACTTAAATAAATAACTTTAATTAAAAATATATTAATTACAGGCACGTTTAAAGAGATATAAATAAATAAAAACCATCATAAACTCATTTCTTGTTGTTCCAAACCTGTATGAGTTGCTTTCTTCTGTTGAACACAAAAGAAAATATTTTGAAGAACGTTGGTAACCAGACAGTTGATGGGTTGATTGGGCTCCATTGACTTCCATAGTCGGAAAAAATACTATGGAAGTCAAGGGGTGCCGTCAACTGTTAATTCTTTAAAATATAGTATTTTGTGTTCACTAGAAGAAAGAAACGCATACAGGTTTGGGACAACGTGGGGGTGAGTAGCCTAAATGATGACCAGAGTTTCATTTTTGGGTGAACTGTCCCTTTAATCCCCATCTTGGTATCGTCCTCGCTCCCCTCTGAGAGTCTGAATTGGTTCATTCTGGTATATAAGTCACTGATTCACGCTTGTACTGTACAGTGTGTTACTTAGTGATGCGGCGACTATAGCGTCCGACGCGATACTCCACCGCTCACAGGTCAACGAAGTGCTCTGCAACTTTGAAAATGTCTTAAAGCAAGTCGATAGATGACTAAAGCCTGTTTCGGGGTAGAATTTAGGCGTAATAGAAATAGTACAGTAGATTTAGTATCTTCACTGTCCTCAAGACGACCAGTATGTTGCCTTGGAAGAAGAATAAGTTCGAGCTGATCGAGGAAGACAAGCAGCAGTCCAAGCAGAAGGGCTATGCCGTGAGCCTCAACTACTCCGCGCTCACCTCCTTCGCCAAATCCTGCCCAGAAAGCGCACTCAACAGAGTCGGGAGCATGTTCAAATCCAAGAGGAAAAAGGTGAAGATCACCAACGAGGACCCTACGTATACGGTCTTGTATCTGGGGAATGCCACCACCATTCAGTCCAAGGGGGACGGATGCACGGACGTGGCCGTCAGTAAGATTTGGGGCAAGAGCGAGATGGGGAAGAACGGCACCAAGATGAAGTTGACCATCAGCTCGCAGGGCATTCGCATGGTCCACGTCGACGAAAAGGCGAAGAGACCTGGACATCTCTATTTATTGCACAGGATCACCTACTGTGTCGCAGACCCGCGGCTCCCCAAGGTATTCGCCTGGATCTACCGGCACGAGATGAAGCACAAGGCGGTGATGCTGCGCTGCCACGCCGTGCTGGTGTCCAAGCCGGAGAAGGCGAAGGCCATGGCGCTGCTCCTCTACCAGACCTCAGCGACAGCACTGGCCGAGTTTAAAAGACTCAAAAGAAGGGACGATGCCAGGCACCAGCAGCAGCAGTTGATCGGGGAGCAAACGATTCCCTTGGTGCCCTTGAGGAAGCTGCTAAACGGACAGTGTTACTATAAACCCCCGGTGGAGCGCAGCAGGAGCGCACCGAAGCTGGGCTCCATCACGGAGGACCTGGTCGGGGAAGAGGAAGAGGAGAAAGCCATGCACTTTGAGTGCGAGGATATTCTGGACAACGACAGCGACTGTGTGTCTAACGGCAAGCAAGAACTGAGTCAGATTATCAATGACTTGGGCTCCATGAGTATAGGGAACGACGTGCAGACGCTAAAAGCCGATCTGAGAGTGACTCGCCTGCTGTCCGGGGAGAGCACGAGCAGCGAGTCCTCCATAGAGAGCAACCAGGAGACTGTTTCTCTGTCTAATGGCATTGTGGATAGGAAAATGCAAGAAGTCGGCTGACTAAAGTCAATCTGTACCCAGCAATGACATGCGATGTTACATGGTAATAATGAAGAAGAGCGTTTGAGTGCATGAATGTGCCACTTCGCTTATTCATGGGATGTGTGTGAACCTAGTGAGCTGCCTACTACCTAGACATCATGTTTGGGCCAAAAGTGTAAAAAAGTTCACTTAACTGCCGCCTTAAGTAAAATCAAAGTGGTGCCAAAATTACAACCTGCACTTTAAAAAAACAACAACATTTTAAATGGTTTTACTGATTAAGAGAATTGAGTTAGCAGAATTATTGTGACAAGATTGAAACCAAGACAAATGTAATGCACTTTCTTTCTTTTTTTTACAGTGGAGGTTTAGAGATGCACCAAAATGCCGTCTAGGTAGGCGGCTCACTAGGTTTTGAGACAAGCCATGGATCTGTTTGTGGACTTACAGACACTCGCACAATAATCCCTCATTAGGGGTCTGGATGGAAGTTGCTCTGCGCAATAAGACGCTTAAAGTCTCTGTTAACCTCTCTATGGGGAAAGAGGTTTTAGGAAAGATCTGTTTACCTAATACGTTTCCCTCAAGGAATTTTGTTTTTTTGTTGAATGAATGAAAACACCAGTCCTGAAATATGTAACTCAATCTTTATTTCTTTCTATATTTGTTTCTTTCTTTCGAAAGAAGTGTCTAAACAACGAGTTACAAAACTACTTTCCTTTCAGGATGTTCCTTTGTTTGTTTGTTTTTTGCACTGTGGTGGATTTCAGACAAGTATTATGTTATTTATGTGCATAATATTGTTCTCAAATGTTCTTACAAACATGTTTTATCTTTGCTGTGCAAAAGAGCCAATTTCCTGATGTACAGAGATGTATATATTAAATACATAATGTGTAAACAAAATCCATTATTTTTTAAACAATGTGGTTTGTTTCTGTGAACACCAATAAAAAAAGTCAATCGAACATCGACGTTGAACATTTTCTGCTGTAAAAACCATAAGTCAAATATTATTTAAACAACTTGAACTTCCAAGCAGGTTTAAATTTGCTGTCACATTTATGCTCTCAAGTGTGCTTTCAGAAGCATGTAGGCACCATATTACGTTCCCTTTGGAGTCTCACAATAGCTGGCACGTTTGCACTTGAGGGGGAGCCGCATGTTCCCTGTGGTGAGAGTGTTAATAATGCTGGCAGAGAGGTCACTTCCTACAGCAGTGCCACACACCACCAGCTCTTCATCGCTCTACATGTATTGAGGCCTCCTTTCAGATCTGCACATGTAAACAAGTTCAAATTATGGCAGAGAAATGAACAATTGAGTGGCAGAATCTATACATCAATAGAATCTTAAAATGCTAAACTAATTATTAGACCTGCCGCCGAATTTAATCAGGGGTAAAATAACGATTTGTACAGTTATAAAAAAAATAAACCTGCTACCTTATTAGACATGATAATATAAGCTACGCTAAAAACAGGGCAATCAAATTTCAGATCTGAAGACTTTTCCAGCAGTCTAAGCATCAAACAAGTTCCCATGTTCCCATGTTTCCCACCTCCATGGGATTCACCATCAAAAGCCTTCATACCACGCATATAGTATATAACCCTGCACAGTGCAGAACAATAAACGGATATGCTAAAATGAGCCTGCATGTATAAGGGAACAACCTATTACCTAACTATTAAACTGTGTTTCAGCTGGGGCTTCCTTTATGGAGCTTATTAAATGTACGGTTAATAGCAGATGCATTAACAGATATAGGCCAGCTTCACAAATGATGTAGGTCACAGATACATTTACAAGCTTTATTGAAAGATAAGGATCATTTCTGTCTCCAATTATGAAGAGTTAAAATAGCTGTTTGAAATAAATGTAGCAAGTTTTGTGTGCGCAAAATTAACTTTTAAAATACCCTTCGATTCGGCAGAGATGTAAACAAAAATGAAACAGAAAGTTTAAGCAGTCTTCGGAAGAGTCAAAAGTTAATTCTCACCCATGGAAAATCCATCTTGAAGTCAACTTTGTCTCTAATAGAAAATTGCCTAATTGATTTAATGGCTCATGCGTGAAATTGAATGAAAGAAAGCGCATTATTGCAGTGCATCACAGTGTTGATTAACTAATAGCGAGAGGCAAATGCTAAAATCTTGATATCTGCCTCCGTAAGGGATTTCTGCAGGAAGGTGCTTTTTAATAAGTGCTATAGTCTTCATTATTTTTTTATTATTATTTTTCTATTGAGACAGGATTTGGCATGGCCAAGGCAAGCAATATGAACTTAAATAATGCATGCTGTTGTTCAAAGCCAATGCGGCCTCACAGGTTAGTCTCCTGTTACACCCGTCTAAAAAAAGAACAACTCACCCAGTCTCTCTCACACACACACACACACACACACACACACACACACACACACACACACACACACAAACACACAAACACACAGGATTCCCTAATGTCTTGCATCACATTTAGCGTTGGTGCATATATGCACAAGCCCTAAATATGCAATATCATCATAGCAACCATGGAGATTGTTTAGATTATAGAATCACATTGTTTTATTTATTTTTTTAGAAAGGTTTAGAAAGCAGACAAACTGTCATTAGTCCAAATCAAAGTCAAATACATCAAAAGGTCCAACTTGTTTGGTAAAACAAAATAGTTGCTATTAAACATCTTGGAAACAAAAGAAAAGAAAAACAAACAAACAACAAAACCCAAAGCAAATCAAAGCAAAGCAAAACAAAACATTGGTGTTTGGTTATCTAAATGTACGTTTAGATTTACATGTTTAAATTTAGCGTAAATGGCTAATAATCAAATGACCTTATTGTGACAACACATCCTTTTATATTTCAGTGTCAATAAATATAAAATAAATGAAATCAAATTACATAAACATCTGCCTCCGCATATTTTTAAGAGGAATGTGAAATGGGAGGAAAAGTAATAGGTTGTTTTTACCTTAAGACAACAATGAGCATAATTTTTGACATTTGATGAGAAATAACAGATATTACACCCACAATCTTGTCTCAAGGAGACAGAACGTTCACCAAACAATACTGTCATTTTGAAAGTAGGCAAGAGTGCAAACAATTGTTATCATAGCTATCTTAGTGCGGGTGTCAATGTCATCATTACATATGTATGCAGTCACAAAGTTTATCTTTCACATCTTGTTCCTGACATGCCCACATTCTCAAGAGTCAGTCTCAGAGAGCTCATGAAATGTTAACGCTATGGGGCCTGCACCTCTCCTTAATGTTTTCTACACAAACGGTCCCCCCAGAGAGCAATACGTTTCAGTACGGTTATTTTAATCCTTCTGCTTACAGACAGGAAATGGAATAATAACAGGAAAACAGGAAGAATCACAAGACACGCTCCAATCTGCACACTTAGATTGGGAGATTTCATGGAAATGTCCCTCTCCAAGGGCTCGTATTTCATGTCCACTCGGCCAGAGTGTGCTTTTACTCTGAAGGACACAACAGAGTACACAACTGCTCAGTCCAGAAGCCCAGAAGACAAGAAGCAACTGCTGTTTTTGATAGTTAAGGAAAATATGATACAAAGCGTGTCAAGTCGTATGAAATGAAATAAAACCATGACAAAAACAGGATGACGATTATCACACGGCAGTGCAGCTCTCTTACTTTAAAGAATACATGTCAAAGTTCACTTTGTCATTTGAGATGTTTTGCATGATATCTAGTACAAAATATTATGAGACATAGCTTCTCTAGCCAACATCAACAACACTTAGCAACTAAAAAAAAAAAAAACTGATTGTACTTGAAAATTTAAGGCAGCAACTTTTTTTTTTTTTACAGTAACTATTAAACTGTGTTTCAGTTTCTGTGCTGGGGCTTCCTTTATGGAGCTTATTAAATGTACGGTTAACAGCAGATTCATTAACAGCCAGCTTCACAAATTATGTAGGTCACAGATACATTTACAAAATGAGCTTTATTGAAAGGTATGGATCATTTCTGTCTCCAATTATGAAGAGTTAAAATAGCTGTTTGAAATAAATGTAGCAAGTTTTTTGTATGTGCAAAATTAACTTTTAAAATACCCTTCGATTCAGCAGAGATGCAAACAAAAATGAAACATAGAAAGTTTAAATAGTCTTTGGAAGAGTCCAAGTTAATTGTCACCCATGGAAAATCTTGAAGTCAACTTTGTCTCTGGCGCTCTAATAGAAAATAGCCTAATTGATTTAATGGCTCATGTGTCAAATTGAATTAAAGAAAGTGCGTTATTGGAATGTAAAAAAAAAAAAAAACATTAATTAAAAAATAATAATAATAAATAAGAAGATACAATATATAACAAAAACAACAATAAATAAAATAAAAAATAAATAAAATAAAAAGCCTCAACCAGGTATCATGAAAATAAAATGTAAAATATCTCACCAGGGTATCATGAAAATAAAATAAAATGGTTTCAAACAGGATATCATGCTGCATTCATAAATAATATTAATTAAAAAAATAAGTGTCAAGAGAGAAGAGAGAGGCTCAATGCCATGTTCTGTGCAAGCACACAAAAATAAACCATGTCCAGACAGCATCACACCACCCAGTCATGGTTTATTTTACTACATGTAATGTTATGACTTTATTTTTACCACTTGTATATATACTCCGAACACACAGACACACAAACATCAGTAGATACCTTCAAAACCAAAACAAGAACATTGTGCCAAACAGGGTCATTTTGAGTGTACAGCGCATTTCACAATACTAAAAGTGCCAAAGCATGATTTATAAATGGTGCCTTGCAATCCAACAAAGAAGCTTATTAAACAGGAACAACACCAATAGCAGCTTATCTTTGCTAATACACATGCAACTATAAGAGAACATCAACTGAAATCTGCAGTTGCTGAGCATTAACTGGATTGTTTGACGTCTGAAAGTGTCATTGACCGGGGAGTTCCGTCTCTTCGAGGTGCTAGTGGTTTGTAGGAGGATAACCAAGTAAACGCAGGTGAAAG